CGCTATGAGTCGGAAACGACTCGATGGCACATAACAACAACAACAAATATTTATTCATACTGTACTCTGCTAGACATGAATCAGAATCTGCTTGGCAGCATCTTCAGTCTGAATCATTAAAAAAAAAGCATATTTCACTGATGAAGCAAAGGCTAGTGGTTTGAGTCCACTTAAGTGTGACTTGAAGGAAAGGTCTGGGGATTCCTTTTGTATAGCCATTTTAAAACCTCTAACACACATGATATTTTCCATGATTTTGAATTATTTCATTGGATGCTGTTTAGTGATTAGGTATTTACAAGAATTGTTTTTATTGTTGTGTACTCTCAAATTAGAACCAACCTAGAGCTGACCCTACGACGAGTTTCAGAGGCAGTTTTTTGCAAGGGAGGAAATTGCCCATCCTTTTCCTGCAGAGCAGCTGGTGGCCTCGAACCGCATGCCTTTGGGATTGTAGTGCAGCCTCTTGCCACTATGCCAGGAGTGACATCCACTTCCTAAGCAACATGCCTCTAGAAACTATGAACTTTGATAAGTGACTATAGTTATAGAATGGCTTTTAAGGCCTTTTGTTCATAGGGTCGCTATGAGTAGTGTTCGACTCAACAGCAGTCAACAACAACAACAACATTCATAAAAGTGCTTTTGAATACTGAAAATTTTAAAACTTAAGCGAAATGAATGGGTAATGGAAGCTTTGAAATATCTGAAAATAATGTTATGGTAGATCTATATATGACTTAAAAAGAATTATATTAACCTGTTCCTGAGTGCATAATGAGTGCCTATGCATTGTGACATTTCTACTGTAATGATTTTTGGGGAATTCATCAAGGGAATTAATCCTGAATTTTCTTTTGTTTATTTATGGATTGGTAAGATAATAATAGCTGGTAAACTCATGAGATAGATAGACTCCATAGTAGGCCCACCTTTCTTCTGAGAGCTTTATTCAATAAACTTAGTTTCCTATAGAAATAATGTTACTTAATTATGGTTTAATTTTATGTGTTTCTTGTGTTTTTATTTTTTTATTTTTTAGTTTACTGTGTCAAAGTAAGAATAGCAAAACAGTTTTTTATGACTCTCATATTCATTGCCATTTTGTTGGAACTGACCCACGACAGGCCTTTCATTGGGTTTCTAAAGCTGTAAATCACAAGAGAAAAGATGTTCTTCTTTTGACCACCAGAGGACTAGGGCCTTGGATTAGCAATGCAGCTCTTTACAGAGTAGGAGTTCACTAGGGCTTCCTTATTTAGTAAAAGTTTAGATAAAATCTTTATTCAGCATATTATTCTTTGTTTCCCCCCACCCCCACCCAGAGATGATATTTTATTGTGGTTTTAATTTACATCTCTCTTATTGCCAGTGATTATGAACATTTCTTCATATGTCTAACTTAGAAGGGACTGGGGAGCATTATGCTAAGTGAACTAATTCAAACTTATAAAGGGAGATACTTTGTATGACCATTATTGTAGAATGTGTATAAGGATTCAAGGGGATATGAGCAGAAGCATGAGAATGGGTAGTGGGGTTAATCATAGGGTCACTAAATTTGATGGGTCGAGGTAGGGTGGGTAATAGAATGAAAAAGATTCGGTGTGTAAAACAGTGTATATGAAGATTGTAAGTAAACCAGGATAAAATAAAAATAATCTTAAGGGAAAAAATTTTATTTTATTAAAATCCCATAACTATTAAGTTAGTCAAGATATGAGTCCAGAAAAAAGTTACCCTTGAGAAAGTAATTTGCCCTCATTGCTGATTGTGGAACTTGCCTTCAGTTACTCATTTGTAAGTTCAAATTCAGACTGAAGAAAATTGAAACAAGTTCACAAGAACCCAAATAAGATCTTGAATCTGTCTCACCTGAATTTAATCCCTGTCTGAATTTATCTCACCATCTCAAAAATAGGATTGAGGCACTCACCAGTAATAAGTGAAGGCCAGATAAGGTGTGAGGTGACATCAAGTATATTATCCATGAAGAAAGCAGATCATTACAAAGACAAGGGAGAAAGCAAGGACCAAAATGAATGCCAGAAATAACTGAAATTGCCCCAGAAGGTTGAGAAGCCAAAACAGGAAAGAAATGGTGAGGTACAAGAAATGAACAGAAGATTTCAAAGGACAGCTCAAGGTGATAAAGTACTATAATGAAATGTGCAAAGAGCTGGAGTTAGAAAGTAAAAAAGGGAAGTACTTGCTCAGCATTTCTCAGCATGAAAGAACTGAAAATTCAAGGCTTGAATTATAATACTGAAGGATGCTATGGGTAAAATCTTCAGTGATCTAGAAAGCATCTAAATGAGAGGGAGAGAGTACATAGTCAATGTAGGAAAAGTAATTGGGGAACTACATCCAATAGTTTTCTTGCTGAGTCTTTAGGGTTTTCTATCATATCACCTGCATAGAGAGATAATTTTACCTTCTTTTTGCCAATTTGGATACCTCTTATTTCCTTCTCTTGCCTTA